GCACTTTCTCATTTCACAAGAGAGAAAAGAATCACCCACACAGAACTCCTATATATACACATAGTAATGTTTTCCTTGGCATTAAGAAGGTCAGACAATCACCTAAAATTTCTTAATTTGACTGAGATGTCCACACCACTGCCATCCATCACGAATTTTGTCAGCAATTCACTTCAAATAAAGCAATGACTAGTTGGGGCTTATTGTTCTTCAAAGGCTATTTCAAAGCTATCTCTTGATTGTAAAACAAGTGCACCTCCTAACTGCTGATTTATTGATCACTGGTACCTTAATACACAGCACAATGCCCTCCTCCCAAACATCTGGAGCACAGCTGGCTATGCTTAAACTCAAAAGAACTGTATTCAGTCCACTCCTGACATACAGAATGTTGGGAGGCAAATGAATTCTCTATTGGCAACTATATCCCTTTTCATTTCAATCCATAGGTACACCTTAAAAAGTTTGTTACAGTTAGTCACTGAAAACCACACAACTCCACTTCATCCATACCATGGAAAAAATCCCTTTGTAGTGGCAGAATTCTCCAATGTCCTTTTGTTAATTCCAAACAATAAGGCTTAGTATTACAGAAAGGAAAGAAAGAGACAGCCCCCCACGCACACTTTAAAAGTGTCTTCCCAGTACCAAGTGCTCACAAGGTCTCCTCTTACAAGAGAAACATAATCTGTGAGGAAAACAACAGAACTAACTTCAAAGGATGGTGCAGGTTTGTATTGTCACATTCAGTACATACGCACATACAAAAGGAGGCTTTTCCAACTGCACTGCAATCCATCATTTGAAGCTTGTTTTGTTGCATCAGATGCTCATCTGTTTCAGGTGACAAGAACACACTGCTTATTACTTTATCCAGTCCGAAATCTGGCATACATCCCAGTGCTATGGGAAGGAGATAATGTAAATCTATCCTTTCCCATGTATGGGAAGCCTTACAACACACTCTCCTGATTCTCCTCATGTGTTTAGGAACGTATTTCTGCAAGAGCACTGCAAACTGTTTGACAGGATTAAATTAAAGCTACTGTCTGGACATACCATCATAATCATTAGTGCATGTAAATGCATTCTGTTCAGAATTCCTACAGGACTGCCAGTGAAACTGCTAGAGAACTGCTAGAGAAATACCCAGCACAGGCAATGTTATTGCTCATGTCTCACAGCACAGCTGTATGCAGACACACAACAGAAGACGCAGCCCTCCTGCAAGCTTTTTTTCCTCCCCTTTGCTTTCCCTGAGCCTTTACAGTAGGATTTCTGTACTTCATCATCTGATAAAAACAATCTTCAGTCATCTGCATTGGCATGCAGAGCTTTACAGGCATCTAACAGCATATTTGGGGCCTGTGTCTTTGGCAACACAACCTAAAATTTACTAACAGCCAAGGCTTTGATTTACAAACCATAAGATTATAAAAGACCACATGGATGTTTTCAGCTTTTACTCCAATATCTCATCTAATCTGCACATAAAATGCTCCAAAAAAAATATGTCTTGCCCACTTCCTTTATGGAATCTCCAATGGCCAATTATCAAGGCTGTTTAAAATATTTTTGCTGCCTACCCTAATATTTTATGTCTTTAGTTTTGGGACTGTCAATACCTCAAAAGCCCAGAAACTTTATAATTTGAGGAGAAACACACAGTAAACATAAATGAAGTGTAATAAGTATTTGGAGATGCTATCTTTTTTCCCCTCAAACTAAATACTTCAGGCTGAATGAAGTGATTCTGTAAAACACATATTGCACATAGCAAAATGATACTTTTTATTCACAATTAACATTTACTTTTTCACCATTTATTTTACCAGTAGAAAGAATTTCCTAATAAAAGAGAATAACATACAGTCTCCCCCCTTCCCCCCACCCTCAAGGAATAGCAGAGCAGAAAAATGATTTAAAGAAAATTATCATTCCCTGGCAGAGGACTGACCAGAGAGCACAGTAGGTTAAATGCACTGATCATCCTCAGCGTTCTCCAATTATACATGTGTATGGCTTGGCCTTGCCCAGTGTTTACATAACCCCTGCAACTAACATCTTGAACTATTGTACTGCAGCAAATATCACTACAAGCATAAACAACTGCAAAAAAAGCATCCAGGAAAAATATTGACAAGTTTGTAGCCCACAACTGCAGATGGTGGGAATTGGTGGAACCTTTGCAATACAAACAGTGCCCCAAATCAGTTCATCATACAGAGAAAGTTTCCAGTGATAAGTGACACATTTAGGGCATGTTCCCTTAAAAAAAAAAAAGGGAAAGGCCTGTCTCCCATCTAGCAGCTCATTGTTCACAAATGGAACAGTGTTTACACAGGAAGAAGTCCAGTTTAAGCAAACGGGAAGTCCAGCAGATGTTTCCTTCTATCAAAGCAAAACAAGTTTAAAACAAGTTTGCGAATTGCTTTTGCCCAATCAGAAAGCTTCAAAATTAATTCTACTGAGGGGAAAAAAAAAATACTCAACAGAATGACCTTGGAAAATAAAATCAGAAAAACTTTTATTTCAAAACTGCAGCTGCTAGAATCAACTCTTTTGAGAAAAAAAAAAAATTGGTCTTCTTTACAAATGCTTTATGATCCAGGTTTGGAGGAATAAAAGGAAAATTGTAATTTTGGTCTGTTCTGGAAAAGGAAAGTAGGGCAGATTCCTACTCACACGGCTCCACGTCTCAAATGCTCTCCAACCAATCAAACCAATCAACCTCTCCTCTTCTCCTCTCCAGAGCTCTCCCAACACCCCCCAAACTTCTGGCTGCTCTTTACTTCCTCATTTCTCTTCAGATCTTCAAGTACCTCTTCCTTGGTACACAGCAGTTAAATAATAGAAGTGGCTGGGCAGAGTATAAAAGGTACAGCTCTCAACTTTTTCTTCACTTTTTTTTTTTTTTTTTTTTAATTTTAATTACAGCTACCAGTACACACTGGTTACACAGCAAGCATAAGTACTCTAAAAAAAAAAAAAAAAAAAGATGAAGAATTTCATGCTTTCCCAAAATAAGTTCTGTTGAGAGCATGATGTTACCCATCGGACTGTTTCACTGATCATCCCATTCCATAATTTCAGAATTTGCCTGATGTTATTGTATCATTACAGTGGTAAAGAAATCTTGCAGGAGCTGTTTCTTTTTCTGTAGCTAACATCTTGCTCCAGAAAAATCAGATGAGAGTGACAAAGTAGCACTGAGAAATTTTTCCAGTTCTTTCAAGCTTTTGTAAAATGCAACTGCAGAGCTCCAACAAATTAGACTAACAACTAGATAGATACAAGTGTCAAAGCCAAGGATAAAATACTCTTAACTACAAGTACAGCAAGTGCAGTCAGTGCATGCAGCTTTCTGCACCCATCTTTGCCTCTCCAAGCCCATTCTTCTCTATATTTCATTCATCTCTTTTTCTAACTACTTTGTGAGTATTATACAAAGTTCCCACCTCCACAATATTCATGCATGGCATGCTTGGCACTGAGGTTCCTTACCCCAGTGGAGGCCTCTGCACATCCTAAAATGTACACAACAAAGTCAGAGCTATAATATGGAAGCAGTGAAAGGCACCATTACTACAATTAACACGAGCGTTAGCAGTCTGAAGTAGACCACGCCATGACATAATTCAGATCTGCCTGTCAAACAGTTATGGCAGAAAGTGGAGGTGTTGTTTTTTTTCCTCATTCCTCCAATAATCCTTTTTGTCCTTTAAGCAAATCTTAAGTGTAATCTCAATCCGTCAGCAGTTCTGTAAAGAAATACCAGCTCAGATCTAATTGGATTTGTCAGAAAACGACAGCTAACCAGCTCTGCAAGCCCTAGCTGAAGGAAAATCTTCCAAGTGGGAACGTAGAAAAATATGAAAGTTCATTTCAAGAAGAAAACTTTCCTCTGAAAATAACTGGTAAAAAGATACAGTTCAAACCCTGTCCCTTAGTAACATAAAGATGTGGTGTGGCATAGCTAAGGTTGTGTGAGCTGTTCTATATAGATGATTATTTGCAGTTAACTGTTCAAACGTCACTTCAGGTTGCTTTGAATTTGATAAGATTGCTCAATGTTTGCCTATGCAAACTTGCTTTTATTTTATACTTTTAAACCACGAATAAGAAAATGGGAGAAAAAAAACAAAATTCTGACAGGAATACATAACAGTAGTATTCAAAAATAAGTATCTATTACATTGAATGCAAATGAAAAATACTTGGAACACGCATTTTAGCTGAAGAGTTGAAATACCTCCCGCACCTCTGGGCTTCTAGATGTTTTCTCACAAATACAAGAAAACAAACATGAACCTGATTGTTTTGTTGATGATTTGTTCTGCACATGTTTCTGGCTTGAATAGTGTCAGAATAGTTCAAGGACAGTCTAGAATACAGTGGCCCAAAGCCCACACAAGCATCCCCTCCAAATGATGAGACACAGTGCATTACAGTGCTGCAGAGGTACAGGTTAAATGCCTATAATAGGCCAAATCTTACAGTGCTTTCAATGCATTCAAACTGTGATTTCCTTAATGATGACCAGATCCAGAAGAAAGAAAAGTCACTAGATGGCCTGTACATTGAGAATTGAAGTGACATTTATTTCACTGGCTTTAAAATGACAATCACTAATTTTTTTTACATTTATATTTAGGAGAATATCAACTTGATCACTTAAAAACACCATCATCTTCTATATCTGCACAGTTGGTAGGCAGCATGCCTATGTCTCAGGAATAAAAGTTATCTTCACACTGAATTCAGAAGCAGGTTTTGATCTGGGGCAAATGCTATATGAAATGGTATGGTTCACTGTCTCCATCAATAATCAGGAGCTGTACACTCTCCTACCTGTTGGCTTATCCACACCAAGGAATCCAGCTTGGCCCAGGGTTTTAAACACTTTATGTGCTGGGAACTGTCCTTCTTCTTCCCATTTGTCCACAAAGGGGTTAATCTCCTTGTCGATGATCTAGATTTGAGAAATAAGTTTAAAGTTACTGGCAGACATTCTTACTGAAACAACACTGACTATTTTTGTCTAAATAATTAAAAAAGGAAAAGAAATACACAGGGAAAATTTTGAAAGCACCCACTCACAACTACTACAACAGATGCAATGGGGTAAATTCTTTTAGCTATTGCAACTAATGCAACAGGAATTCAGCAGGACTGGTTTAAGCCCAGGATAATGGCAATTCCCCATCATCAATTATTATCTTCTTGGGTACTATTTCTAGAAAGCAACAGGAAGAGAAATCTGAATTGTCCTCAGAGGGACACAGCCAAGGATGGATGATGGCCTGTTCACGATGACCACACACAGCACACAAGACAAGCAAGTAAAAGGAGCTTCATCTCCCTTCTCTTTGCTCATCCTCCAAAGCCTCAGATTTTCATGGCCATGAAAAGGGAGCAGATTGGCAATCTGCAGTTCCACAGCTGAGTTCTGAGGAACTGCTCAACAGAGCCAGCACCATGCCTCAGTCCCCTGCACTGTGGTGTTGCTTCTCATGCCCACTGACCTTTCATGAGGCAGATGGTTTCAAATAGCTTTCATAAAGTGTCTATGATATGGCATCCACCCCTTTCTAGATCCACAAGCCAAGCTGGGTGCTGGCACATGCTTCTGCTGGGCCTCCAAGTGCCTCGTGCAACTGAGTCAGCACACACAAGAGCATTCAATAGTAAAGCAAAAAAGCCACCAAACCACACCAGAACAAGTACCATTTCTCAATCTAATGTCCCTAGTTCATGACCACAATTTTACTGTTACACCATTCTACACAGAGAGAATTTATTATTTTAAGAACTTCTCTTAGTCTTTTCTCCACGCTAAATAAACAAGCCCTGTAGTGCTAACTGTTCCTTAAGTTGGAAGTAGATCTCTTTTCCTCTTGAAGTGCCGTGCTCATGAGACCCTGTAGAGTGTTCTTCTCAGCTGTCTATTTATTGCACATTCTTCAGAGAATTTCAGACCATATACGGTTGCTTTCTGCTTCTCCGCTGGTCACAGAAATACAGATACTTCACTGTTGGCTACAGAAAATTACTTTTTCTATTCTCCTACTAAATTCCGAGAAATATACAAGCTCAATGTTCATCTCACTCAGTAATTACCATCTCTCTCTCCTTCTCTTATACTACCTGATATAGACCTCATGGCCAACACTAACAAAATACTCACCAGGACACTAGGACAGCCTACCTTTAACTATCTGTGTTGCCATATCCACAATGCTCAGACAGCAGCATGTGTGCCCTTCATGCTGAGTAACAGGACGTGAAGCACGTTCTGGATTGTACTTTTTGTAACACGTGCTAATGCTGATCTGAAAACACCCAGGGAAGTGCCCGAAAGCAATTATGAAGCCTATACAGAAGGCCAACCTGGTGTTTTGACAGATCTTGGCAAAAGTTTGATGTGAACATACTAACACAATTCTGTATTTGTTATGGCTGGTATCAAGCCAAGTGTTTCGCACAAGAAACTACCTTTGAAGTTCTTGAAGTCAGAAGAATGACGGAGGCATTCAAGAAGTTCTTTACATAATTCCTGCATATTATTTCCTTCATATTATAACCTGCTTCCTTCTGTGCTTTTGAGCAGAGCTCAAGCTGCTTGACAGAACCAAAGTTTAAAAACTAGCAGGTGAAATTTGTCATGTCTAGTAAAGCAAGATCTACCTGGCATGACACACACACACAAAACAAACAAACAAACTAAACGGGGACAGCCTCACTGCAAAAACTGCACTAGAGTTTATGTTTCCATAGTCAAGAAAAAATGAACATCACAGTCCAGATATCAATATCCAGTTATTTCTTAGCTCCTGAACCATCCACTTTAAACTGTGTTTACGATTCGCAATCGTAAATAAGACTCTAAACAAATTAACCTACTTTCAAACAAGAGAAATAATTCCTTCAGAAGTATTATTCATGAAAATAAGACTTTAGGTAATTTGCATAGAATCAAAGGGGAGGAAAAAGTTATGGGTCAATCAGACAACAGGCAGCATCAGTTGGAGAGAGCACCTGGAGGAACCCCTCTCCTTTTGCTACCACATACAAACATGCTAGAGAACTGTGGTGCTGGTCAACCAGCTGATGCTTTAATACTGATCGCACTTTCATGCAAAAGCTGACAGAAAGAGACATTCTCTGTGAACAAAATAATCAATTACCAAAGGAATTTGCACACATACAGAACTTGTACTTTAAACATTGCTAAAGACAGATGTATTTGGAAGCAGATCAAGTTTGCTGTATGTTTCATTTGCCCTTTCCTTTGGTTTTTGCCAAAAGGTAATGTGTGATCCCAGAGAATTACATCAAGCTTCAATCAATTTATATGGTAAGTAATTAATTTTGAATTAACTTACATTTTCATAGTGCACACAGCTTTCAGAAGCAAACACTAAGCACTGCAGGCACCTTGAGCTAAATCATAAGGGATACCTGCCACATATGGTAATTACACAGAAAAAAAGCTTTTAGCAGTAGCCAAGACGCAGTCTTGTTTATTTTTACAGGCTTTATCACGGAAAAGAATGTGGAAATCGTAGCTGGTAACATTCAGACATACACCACTAGGATAGTGACTACAGTAAGAATTAAAACACCTCTCAGCAGGTATTTGGGATCTAATGCCTATTTGGGAGCCCTATGTCTTTTCTGCCTACTGATAGAGTAAGCCACAGCAGAATTCTGCTCTTGTCCTGGCAGTGAGGACATGGTTAAGTCTTGTGTGCAGGAACAGAGGTTTTTCAGGCTGCTTCAACAGCCCATAAAAACATAAAACTAAAGGACTCAACTCTGGAGACAGACTTGGCTCAGTCTATATCTCCGTGATGCAGACTGTCATGGTTGGTATAAGCCATGAATTATTTTTAAAAACACTGTGTGCGCATGTCCAGTCAGAAACTGATTAAGACAACACACTCACCTCATGTTCAATGGTAGTAAGAAAAATAAAAGTGCCTTATATTTCAAGTAGTCTTTACGAAGTGTTGTGAAAACAGAACCTGTAACTTTCTGCTCAGGAAAGAGAAAATTGAGCAGGGGAGTAAAGGGAGGAGAAAGACTGAAATACACTTTTTTTTGTTGTTGTTATGGATTATTTTAATCTCCATCTAGAAGAGAGAATGAGAAATATCTCCCCAGAACATTGCCAGATAGTTGCATGTTTTTCTTATTTTTCCCTGGAAGTTATTGTACTGTTTAAATGAGTAAGAAACAAAACCACACACGAGGATTTTCCTTTGCATGGTGCTCAGTATTTTCTGCTGACATTGTACCAGCAGAAGCATTAGAGATTGCCATTTAATTCTTACTGTAATCTAAAACAAATATCCTATTCCTAATGGTAACTGTAATTAAATCATTTTGGGTACTGAGAGTGTCTACAGATATTTTTTACAACCACTAAAGATTTCTTTCCATTATTCACCATCAAGTTTACCATTTAGCAAACAATTCAAATCTGAAATTAAAAATAACATTCAACACACAATATCTCATACCTGTCTCTTATAATACTGAACAGTGGTAGTACAATATTTCAGCACACAATAAGTAGGACAACGTATAACCTTGAGTCTTACAAAAAACAACAACAACTAAAAAGTAAAAATACATTAGTATGTATTCCTACAAAAAGAAACTTTTACTAAAATGTCCTGTGAGTTACACCTGAGATTAGGCTGACTTACTAGAAAAGCAAGAGAAAATGTCTGACAAAAAACATGCCTTTGTACTTAGAAAATTATATGGATTTTGAGTTTGTTTTTTTATGACAATGGGACTTTCTATGAAGATTATAACATTAGGTAGGGATGAGATTCACCTGTCTAGAAGAGACAGGACAATCTTTGGCAGCAGGCCAGCCAACCTTCTGAGGTGGGCTTTAAAGTGAAGGAGTTGAGGGAGCAGGGTCCAAAATGGCAATGGTCTTTTCAGAGGTGCCCAGCCACAGAACAAGAGACAAACTGAAACATAGAAAATTCCATACAAAAATGAGGAAAAACTTATTTACTTTGAGGGTGACAGAGCACTGGAACAGGCTGCTCAGAAAGGTTGTGAAGTCTCCTTTTCTGGAGATATTCCAGACCCACTTTCCTTTAGACATTTTCCTGAGCAACTATTGTTGTGAAATTGCTTTAGCAAATGGCAGGACTAGATGTTCTCTAGAGGTCCCTTCCAACCCCTGCAATTCTATGATTTAGAGGTGCCATATCACACCAGGGTCAGAGGAGTATTTTTGTTTTAAATCAAGGTGAGATAATGATTAAATCTTTAAAGTAATATAAGGAACGAGTAAATAAGCAACAAACCACTAACAACATTTCTTCCTTGATTATATCATGACAATTAGCAGAACGCTGACTTGAAAGAAAGGAGGCAACAGACTATAGAGACCTTTGCCTTTGATACCAGTCATAATTAAAGAGAATAATGAACAGCTCATAGTACAACATTTCTCCTTGTAATTGAATTCATAACCTCTGGCAGCAATGAGTGCAAACAACACTGCACAGTGCAGGCATTGGTGCTAAGGATAGGCAGTGCTTTCCCAAGGCTAAGAACTGAAAGAGTCAAGGTGGCCAAATCCATTGCCCTGCCCATATGTGCTACCAAAACAAGCCCATAGAAATCACCATGGGATGCACCAGCAGCACCAGAACATGCTTTCCATCTGAATATCCTGTTAGCCTTTTTCCTGAATGCAGCAGGAGCCATGAGCTGTTGGGGGCTACATCACCCAACTTAGCCTGGCCCTGACAAGCATAGCAGTGACAAGCACCGGCCTGCAATGGTTGGCACCCAGAAGGAAGAGGCCATGGCTCTGGTCTGATGAGATCACAAGCAGAAGTGGAGGCAGCGTAGGACATCATGGACCACAAGAGCTACAAATAATCCCATCGCACAAAGATGACTTAACTGCACAGCCACAGAAATGATTCCCTGAGTGGAAACCTTGTTTACTTATGCCACCAAGTTACCTAGCAAGCTTCCTTCCGGCAAACAAAATCCAGCATCCTGAAGTGATCTTGACAGCAAGGCTACAACCCTCTGTTTCCTCTTCCAGTACCACTCAAGCAGTACAGAGTGATTCACCATAGATTTTCAAGCAGTTTTGCATGCCCTTCATCTGAGTATTGTTTCTTTTAATACTAATTGCTGTAAAGGTGCTAGCAACCCAAAACTATTGGTTCCTTCTCTCACTATCTTCTAAAACATAGACATTTTAATTGGCATATCTCAGGACTCACCTAGGAAACCTATGTGAAAACAATTCACCACCACATAAGGGTCCTATCAACATGGGACATATCCTAGAGGTTGCTCTAATACTGCTGCCTCCTTGCATGAGGAAGGCAAGATTCTCTCTTGTTCACGTGGAAGGTTTGGCATTCAAATTCAATCTACAGAGTTTACTCTGTATTCATTTAGGGCAGCTAAATGTACATTGTAACATGTGAACCTGCAGAAGAGTTTGTCCTACTTGAGTACACAATTTGGAAACTTTGCTCTGAGCAGTCATCAGACTGCTGGGAACAAACTGAGAGAATATTTTCCACAATAATACAAGTTTGAACTGTGCTTGACAGAATAAATAGTGGCACATCAACCACATTCGTCAGGGATGCTACATATACCCCCTCCTGTGCATGTGGGCAAACTTACACATAAAACATGAAGGTTTGAGGTCATTCAGCTTTCCCCTTTTTTCTCTCTCAATAGGCAGTACATTAAAAGTTCAGGAGAAAAAGCCAATCCAGTTTAGTGCTGTGAAGGTGGCTGAAAGGAGACTGATAACACATCATTGCTAGCACCTCAAGATGTTAGGATACTGCTTCTATTTTTTTTGTCCATTACTGCACAGTGAGAGTGAACAGACCCGGCTCACGTCCGCCTTTCTCTGCTGCCTTTAGACAGCTGTGACCAGAGCTGAGCTTCCAGAGAAGCTGACAGTGGATTTAAAAGTAATACTCATTAGGTTTATAGAAGATGAAAATGGAAAAATTCCCCGAGAGCTCAAAAATAAATGTCCAAAATGGGAAGACGTGTTTAAAATTTATTAATTATAATGCCACAATTCCTTTTTGTACCTTCAGTTATGCTGTGCCACAGGCAACAAAGGACTCACGCAGTGTGCTACAGCACTGGCTACCAAAGACTGCGAGATCAGCAAACACAAGAACAAATCGTTACTAAATTAAATTTTCCCTTTCCTAAAGGGGGAGGGGAAAAAAAAAAAAAGAAAAAAAAAAAAATCCAAACAAAACCCACAGGGAAAAAAAAACCCATTAAGTAAGGTTTGGCAGCATCTCAAGATATAACAAAACATACCTGTCCTCATCCATTTTCTTTTCAGCTGAAAAGCATGCACATTACAAGTATAATGCCATTTCTTCTGCTCTATACATTTGGCCATAATTGGACATGCTTCTGTTTAAATCATTGTGTTTCTTTCCTGTCAGAGACACAGTTCTCTGCCATATACATAATACATAAAGCAGAGTTGATTATTGCTTCAGAAATTTAAGTATTGCAAATCCTTTATTCCCATACATCTGGCTACAATTTTTACTTTGGAGGAAAAAAATATATATCTGAATCAACCACAAAGCTTTTGTCACTGCTTGCCTAGAACTTAAAAACCTACAAGTCCTATAGGTTGTGCAGGGCTGGGCAGAAGCATGTGCTGTCCCTCTGCCTGTGTGGAGCAGAAGGTGGCGTTTGTCACTCTGGCACGTATCATCACCCAATGAAGAAAACAAAAGGTCCAGACCAGGATGTGGGAGCTGAGCCCAGCTTAACCTTTCCTGAGGAACAAGATGCTGAAAGACCAGCTCTGGTTGGGGAGACGTGATCCCAGCTGACCCTCCTCCTTTCTGGCATTCTCCTCCCTGTCCAAAGGGATACAAACACAAACCCCTTGCACACTTGGAAGCTGTTGTAGTCCCTGCTCACTCCCAGCCACTCCTTCAACAGCCTCAATTTATGAACACAACTGAAAATAGGAGGGTCCCAGAATTGCTTCTCACTCCAAGAGTTGCAAATACCATGCCAAAACCATTTCTCCAGTAAAAGCAGGAAAGGAATATGTTTGCAAAGCCCCCCAGGATCAGGCAATCATTTAAGTGTTTATGTTTGGTTCCAGGGAATTTCTCAATTTCTTTCCTTTGACCACAGACTGTATTTATTTATTCCTCCGTCTCATTGATGGCATCTGCTACATCCTCCATTCAACCACACCACAATGGGCAAAGCAATTTGCTATCAGATGAGCATTTCTCACCCTTGATACTTAACACAACAGGGTTTAAGCCATGTTGGGCTCCATGTCCTTCTTGGACAAGAAATTCTGTTCCTTTTACCATGATATTTTTGCAAAAACTGTGAACTAATCTCTTGAGATATAGAAAATACATTCACGCTTATGGTTCCATGGTATTCATGGATATATATACCCCAAACACAAAAATGTAATCAGTGGATACCATCCAAGGAGAGATATATTAAAAATATGATTTATATTGGGGCAGAAAATAAGGTTTTTTCCTCATTACTAACAGTATTTACACAATGCCTCTGCACACATCAGGCTCCCCTGAATCTCTTAACTTTAGGAAACAAAACAGCATTTAGTAGAAACAGAATGGGTCAGGAAACACAAAAAGATTTGGGAATAATACTTAAAATACCAGAACTTTGATCTATCTAGCTACTCATTCAAAAAATGTGCCATCCCTGTGATTTACAAAGCTGCTAATGCACAAAACTTGTTTTCTTTCCCTCTGTTAGTCAGTAGGACATTTTGTGCACACACGGTATTATTATGGCAAAAAACTAGATTAAAAAAAACTCCCTTTTCCACCTCCCAACAACTTTACTAAGTTCAGACTTGGCCACAGTGACCACAAATTATATTCTTAGGAACTGTGATTATTCATATTTGGTTCTGGATTATATCCCTGTGCGAACAAAGCAATTTATCTCACTGTGGCCATTCCAGACCTCCTTTCCACTGCAAGTCATTAGGATGTCATGAAATAATATGATGGGATCCAACATGAAAGGCAAATGCCCCCGGATTTTGCCCATCTTTGCCACCTACACACTGTTACCCATGACAGAGCTCAGCATTTCATGCTATTACTAGGTTGAAGTGCAGCCTGAAATCTGGGTACCGTTGGAGACATTGGCTGTTTTGAGCAATGTGGCATGAAGCGGTGCCTGGGCTGGTTTGTCCAGGCTGACAGACGTCCTTCTTCAAGAGATTTCAATTAGCAGAGCTTCCAGACATACATGGTGCTTTTTTAACAGTCAACAAGTGGCAACAAGCATCTCCTGAAGTACTCTAGGACTTCCCAGAGCACCAGGGGGCCATGTTCAGATATTGTGGCCCACATCGTGACTGAATCCTTCAGATGAAATGGAAAATATTCAGTCCTAAGAACTGGCTTTAACCTCACTGGTGCCTTCACCTTTTCTTTATCTTGTGTCACTGAAAGAGGATAAATAATTCTCTGGAGCTACTAAAAGAATGGCTCTGTACATGCCAAACAGTAAAGGCAAATGATGGAACCCACCAGAGACTCACAACTTATGCCATTTTATGCACGTCCTAGCACTTAAACTATGCTCATCTCCACATCAGCTGAGTGCCTAGTAAGCCTGGGGTATCCTCACAGATCCAAATAGCTGACCTCACTGAAGGACTGCTAGTCCTGAATGCTGAATCAGCAACTAAAGATTTGGACTGTCATCTCAACCACAAGAAGCTTACACAGAATCTACTTACCACATTGCTCCAGCATCATGGGAAACATTTTTATTCAGCATGCTCTTGTTCCATCTATTTTCTGTTCTTTCGTTTTCCTTTTTCGTGGCTGGGATAAAGCTAAGCTGAAATAAAATGTTCCACATTTCTCTTTGGATGAGGTGATCAACAGAATTTTATTAGCTTCCCCTGGGAAAGGGCTGGTTTCTTTTCCAGGGTAAAGGAGACATTTCTAGTCTCCACTTCTGTCTTTGAAAATGCAATTATGACACACATCCTTCTGCTTATCCCACTGCAAATTTCTAACTACAATACTTGTGATCCTCCCAAGTCTGCCTGAGGAGCAGCTTCATTCTCAAACAGCATAGCATGACACCCATACTAGTTTTCCCTGTCTCAAGCTAGCTCAGCATATTTTGAAGGCTAAAGCACATAAAATGGCAGATTGCAGATAAGCTTGGCCTGCCTTACTGCTACAGACAAACCAAGGCTCTAATTTTTTATGACAAGCTATAAACTAACCACTGAAACCCACCTGAGGAAGGACACACCTCTGGTGGTGCTATCAGGGCAAGAGACCTGGGACCTTCTGCTCCTAAACAATGTTGATAATACAACAGTTGTTGACTAGGCACACAAGCCTGGCTGTAGGACAGAAAATAATTTTAAGTAGTACACCAAGAATCTCAGAAGTCTCCTTGCAGCAATCCACCAGCGCTCATCTGTCAAACCTGACCTAGGCTTTCTCGTTACCTTTGAGACTAAAGAAAAAAAAAAGAAAAAAGAAAAAAAAACATTCAGAACAAGTTGAAAGAACAGCTTTCAGAGCACAATGACACCCAGCTGGGAGCTGCCATGTTCATCAGTGTGCCCGTGGAGCAGAAGTAAAGATTACTCACACATTTTCACACTACTAGGACCTAAAACGATTTAGAGAAAGCTACATTTCCTGAACGGCCATAGCACAATCTGTGTATATCACAGGCATTCTCTCTGTCACAAGCGGCTTAGGTAGATACAATTTAGGTAGATACAATTTAGGTAGATACAAAGTACTACTGAATGTCTTAAGTGGTATTTCTTATTACAGTACTATATCCCAGCTGCCCTGATAACAACAAAAATCAACTGTGAACACTTTCCCTCTGTTAAATTACTGCCCAAAATTCTATGCAGTAGGAAAGGATATTTCTGCATTCGTCTACACCAGAAAGGGATCTGGCCTCAAAATGTTATACAGTGTTTCTGTTAGACACAAGATGACAAAGCTACTGCAAATATCCCAGAATCTAGGAATTTTGTTTGCCTTACTTATCTGTACAAAAGCTGTGAGGTTTACTAATGTCATATTTTTTAACTGTTTCCCTTCTCAAACTTCTACCTCAAATACATGATAAATACTGTTTCAGAGATCCAAGTCACATCTTTTGCAACTTCTGCTGTGTCTTTCCTTTCCCATTTTTCAATTTAGTAAGAAAGTATTTATTTGTAGCACCAACAGCCAATGACTTTGCTGTTTCAATACTGTTTTTTGAGATTTGCTATAAAAGATTGACAAAACAACTCCAACTACAGTGCTCCAGCAGTAACAGTAGTTATAGTAGTTATAGTTCAGTAATAATCAGCAGACTATCCAAAACAGCTGTATTATTTTGACAGATTTTTGACAGATTACAACAATTTTAATGGATATTTATAGTGAAAATTAGTATTTAATCCAGCTCTTTTATGCTCTAATACAAAGAGGCTCTAATTCCTCCATGAATACATATATATTAATGAACAGAAATTTGTGACACTGTAAATAACTGAAGCCAGACATAAAAGCCAGGAGTGGCAATAAACAGTGGTGTTCTTTTGTACAGACCATTTTTACAGGAATCCCCCTTATTCTACAGAGATGTAACACTGTGTAATCAGTCCAAGCCATCACCATGTGTAAAATGAAACTTTTTTATATTAGATGCAACTCCATCAAAATATATGCCAATCCTTCTCAAACGTATTTCCCAAAGCTTCTTATTACTACTGCCTGACGTATACAAACAGGGACATGCTAAAGTACATATCATATATGTATATGCATACATATATGCACATAAAGTAGCTTAAACCCTCTTTCCCTTCAAGCCTATACTATAATATAATTACTGCATCAAACTGCAGGATACCAGTGCACTGTAAGTATTGTTAACAAGGTAAAGAAAAGTTATGTTTTTCGATTTCCAAGAGGAAGGGTGGTGACCTATGAAGTAGTAAAGGAAACCACTCATAAGGTTATTTCAATGCCTTGCTAAAAACAGCTCCTGGAATTACAGGAGTCTCTTCCTCATCCTGCTCAGAACAATTGGAGAAGTACAGATCATTTAAAATATATTAATTTAACAGATTAAAAATAAAAGGAATGCAGACAAAAATATAACAGTTCTCACTAATGGAATTACACCATTTTCTTCTCTGATTTCACTGGCAACTGCACCTGGATTAGCCTAGTGAAAAAGTGCCCCAAATTAAATAATCATTACATTTAAAATGCATTCCAGATACTCAGTGGTCATTCTCTGCCATAGTGTTTACTTTTTAGTTTGTCTTGAATTCACTGGGGTCAGTTTTAACTTAGGCCAAAATAAATACTGACTAATGGAAGCTTTGGAGTAAACAACACTAGACTGGATCTGATGTAAACTGGTGAAGATTATTTTTTCTATATGATCAGAAACTGAAATAAGAGTTACATAAGTATTTTTTAAATTCTGGGAGTAACGGACAGCCCAGGACAGTCTAGAGGACAGAGCAAGGCAGGTGACTCTGCAGACATGCAGGCCTGTTACTGCAATACAAGCAAAACAATCCTGTATTATTCACCTGAGTGACAGAAGAGGATTCATCTTCAACTCTTTTACTGATCCTTTCCCTGCCAGCTCATTCCTGCTTTGAAGAATGTCCAGGAATTTAAATGAATGAAACTAACTTATAAGGAAGTTGGTCAAGCACAGGTTTCTTTGTATAACAAAGAAAATGAATACAATACTGCAAATGTTAAAGGATAAGAGGCCTAACTTTTGCCATAGAGAACTTGATGAATTAAACAGCCTTTGCAATATCCTGCTTTAACCCTGGAAGTATGAAAGCTAATTCCAAAACAAACAAACAAACAAAAAAACCCAAAATCCTGAAGAACTGTCTAAATCAGAAGTAGCCCCAATATCCTCTCTCCACATTAAGTGTGGAAAAAGAAATTTGGAAAAAGGGTAATTGTCCATAAAAGTGTAAGATTCTTCAAGTCATTTTAAAAAGCTTCTATCAAATTCTGGACATTATAGCTCCAAGGTCATATAAATGATCTAACACCAGGACACCCAGAGTGCACTGCTTTTAAAAAAAACTACAGTGCAGCACCAGCCAGGAGCTGAGCATTCACTTATAGGCAAATCAGGGGCAGTACCTCACACTCCATCATGCCCATCTCAGAATGCACACCCTGAATGCAGATGAACTTGAGCACATCACAATTCAGAGACAGATTTCTCCCACATGCAGGTTGTCTCACCTTGCCTTATCCTATCCCAGCTTGCCTGGTTCTGTTCTGTATCATTTCATCCCATCCCTTCTCCTCTCCTCTCATCCCACCCCATTCAATCCACTCCATCCTGTTCCACCCACTGGCCCCAGACCATCCCCACCAGTGGGTTCCACACCAGAGTTTTCTAACTTAAAAAAAAAACAAAAAACAAAAAAACAAAAAAAACTAATTATCCAACTTTGACAGGTGTTGCTTAATTATACCACAGCTTTTTGCAGGTGACACTGATCTCACTGCTGGGAACACAGATAATTCCCCGCTGCCATCATTATTCACAGAATGGCATTCAACTTCCATTTGACCTTACCCAAAGTGTCTCTTTCTCTCGGTTTATCATTCTGTTTCAAAGGAACCTCCTGTTACGGCCCTTCTAGAAACACCACCGTAACAGATGGACTCTGTTCCGCATGCCTTACGCTCGGTGTCCACAGCCAACCCTTACCCTGCGCTCTGCAGGAGCTGGGAGGGAACTGAACGCTCCCCCGCTCTGTGCCCCGGTCCTTCACGTCGCACTCGGGAAACCCAAGTTCCGCCAACACCCCGCTTGTGCTCCCTCTCCACGCACAGGCAGCACGGCAGCTCGGCCCCACTCGCAGAAATCCCCACAGTCCCACCACCCGACTTTTAAAGCGAAACGGGGAGCCACGCAGTACCAACACGCCGCACGCAGCAGCCGGGGCAGCGCAGCGGGCAGGCCGCGCAGGCTGCTGGGCTGTCCCCGCGGTACCTTCCTGAGGGCCGCCCGCAATGCGCCGTGTTGCGGCGCGTCGGCTACGCGACCTCCGTCCCGCCGCCCGCCGCCGCCGCGCAGTGCCGAGGCCCGCAGCGCCCAGCGCCCTCCGCCCCGCAGCGCCATGGCTGCCGTCGGCCGCTCCGCTCCGCCCTCTGTCCCGGGCCGCCGTGCCCTCTCGGGTTACCGGTCGGAGCGAGCGGCGAACAGGTGAGGAGAGCGGCGAAGCGATGAGACCATGCTTTCAGATTCATCTATTTATTTAAGAAAAAAAAGAAAAAAAAGGACAAAATTATCTCCTGCCGGCGCAGGCCCAGCAGGCTGGGGTCTTCTTTAGGCGATGACACAGCCGCCCTTCTCCTTGAAGGGGTTCTTGTCCTCCGGGACGCCCTTCACCAGCGGGTCCTCTCCTGAGCGCTCCTCGATGTAGTTCTTGATCTCCTCGGAGCACTTGGACACCTGCGGGGAGGACACACATGTTGCCAGAGCTCACGCACTCCTCAGCAGCAAGGTGCTGAGCTCGCACCTTTCCCTGTTTGCCCGCCCATTGGGTACCACAGGCCAGCACTCAGCCCATTGGCTGCTACACTGCACATCTTTCCCGATGTGACTCATAGTCAACACCCTCAGGATCAACATTTCAGCTCCACAACATGCTATCTGTCTACAACACATCCATTACTTCATACTTTTTTCCCAAACAAAACACTCCATAATGGTTTTTCAGTGATGATACAAATCCCCATCCCAAGTTCTATAGCAGAAGCCACCCGTCTTCAATGACAGTCACCTAGGAAATCATTTACTTACTGGCACGTGGCATTATGCCAAACAACAGCTAATAAAACAATGCATGAAGCAGGAACACAACCCACAGGCCTCCTTGCATGACAGCCCCACACAGAGGGCCCCCCCAGGAACCTGCCCTGGAGGAGGACCGGGGCTGCTCTGTGTCCCAACCACACACACCTCTCACTTCCCTTCCTGTGGAACAGACACTGTCCTCAGGTGCCTGGATAAGGGAAGCCTCTAAGCACAGCTCCCTGCTCTGTGCCTGCCAACCCACAGACACAAGAGCGCAGTCAGCAACAGAATCCAGCTGCTGCCAGGCCGACAGGGGCCATTATTTCTAATTTAAGGCTCGCTGCTTTCCTCCATAATTATATCTTACTCCATAGGTAAAGTTATGCCAAGTGAGATGGTGAATTTACCCGCTGTGTCACAGCCTCTGAGCCATCAGAAGTAGCTCAGGGTTAATCCTCAACCATAGGGTGTGCAGAATAAGGCCTAACTACCTCTAGCTGTGGTACAGCTATGACCTACAACACAGACTCTATACTCACTGTGAAGCTTTGGTACAGTGCAGAGGTGAAATTGAGGATGTTGACTGTGCTTTTCTGCAGATGGTTTCAAAATACCCATTTCCCCAGTCTTTTGGTTTATTAGAATACTAGAATATATTGACTAAGTATTAGAATATTTAGACTATTCAGAATATTTAAATATATATTTATTTACATAAAGAGTTTTAAACTCTTTTTAAGAAAATCAAAATCTATGCATTCTACAGAGTACTTCAGGAGCTTGGGAATGCTCTGAGGAATGACCCAGGTGCCTGTAGTATTCAGATGTGCAGTCCTTAATACTTCTGGATCCACAACCATAACATCTACAACCACTGACATTTAACTGACACATAAAATTCA